GAAAGCATGTTTCGTTAATCATATTCAATTGAAAACACGAAATGTTACCCTGCAGAAAGGGAATTGCATTTGACAGAGTAGTTGGCTTCCAAAGATCTTGGAGGAAAAGATGATTTCACCACTGAGACATTAGAGGTGCTACTGCTAAAGAATGGTGTAATTAGTGAGAAGAAAGATGATGAAGATGACGAAGAGGATGATTATCATGAGAACACACGCAGGACAGATCTTGTCTGAATCATGACTCGGACTCTGACTGAGCAGGGAAACAACAGCAGTTTTCTAACAAAATTGTCAGTGGTTCTTGCAACTGTATGAATTTTCACAATCAATTTTCTGTTTGTTATCTCAAGAAATACATTTTGAAAAAGTGTTTTACAGTATAGATTACATGTTAAAAATATAATATGTCCTATGAATTTATTAAAATACTTTAAATGAAACTATTTTTTATATTATTTTATTAAAGATATTTAATGTGTAGTCCACATTATAAAATATGATTCTTTTTTGCAAAAACACATCTTCAAATTTTATCTTTCGTCACTACCAGTTATCTCCATTTCAAAACAGCATTTAATAGTATTTTTTATTAACATACATTTGTTTTGGTACATTGGATAGAAACTATACAATAGGGGTAGTCTTCCTCTACTTAAACTCTTCACTCATATCAGAATTCAAGTTTAAAATTTTCAATAAAGGGATTCAAACACTTAATTATTGAAAAGTCTTTAGGAAAGTTTATTAATTTACATACTTATTATCTTTGTACTTTGCTTCAAGGCAATTAAAAAAACAAAAATTCTTCAACTCTTACGGGAAGCGGTACGTAGTAGAATCAATCTTGCTGGTCTTATTTATGCTCCATCAATTTGCCTGTTCCTAAATTTTCAGAACATCAACTGGAGCAGGGACTCTGCAACCAAAATCTATACTGTATTTTTTCAGTGAAAAAACTTTTTGGCACTTCTACTCTATCAATCCCTTGTCCCTCCCTTTCCTCGTTTCGCTGTCCTTGATAAAATAAAAAATTGATCAAAGTGTAGAATGGTGTTTATGCATATAGCAAGAAAGGAAATTAACGACAATAAATTGAAGAATAAGAAGTAGAGTGATTGAAAGTTTAAATGACTTTATTGTTGAATACTGGAAGCAGAACTACGAAAGGAAAATATGACGAAAAGATGAGAAATTAACACCTCATTCAACGACTCATTCTCCTTATTTAAAGACAACAAAACACAAAGAACAACAAGAGTTTATCGTAACTTTCCTAGTAAAAACGTGGCTTCATCAGATATCAAGAATCTGGCACGCTCCACTTTATTAGGACTCTGCTAATAAACTTATTCGACTTGATCTTCAGCAATCCTGACCCTACTTGTCAAACTGTTTGCTTCTCCAATCTTAGCAACTTCCTCCTCAATTTTATCACATCTACTCGTCTTATTTTCAAGGAAGCCAACAAGTCCTTGAAGAGCAAGGTCCACACCTTTATTCTTCATCAGTTCCCCTGCCACCTCTGCTGGGGTCACCTTCTTGTTCTCTATCAAGCTCTCGAATTTTCCAAACAGGGGATGGTCTCTGGTGCTGATGCCCAGGTAATTAGAAGCCAAGATCCTGACCGTATCAACCGTGCAATGGGACAGTTCGATTTGCACGTCCATCCTGCCTGGACGCAGCAGTGACGGATCAAGCCTGTCCTTGTTGTTGGTCGTGACCACAATGATTTTCGCGTCCCCACAGCTTGACCACAGTCCATCAATGAAATTCAACAGGCCAGATAGCGTTAACTGCAGTGAGAAAAAACAGAGGAATTAGAATCTCAAATATTATTAAAAGATTGAACTAAACTAATGGTCTTTAATCAAACCCAAAAATGGTACCCACCTTTCTGTGCAATTTATCAGCTACGCAGTGATTTTCTCTGTTTGGAAGTTTGATGCTGCAGTCCATGTCCTCGATCGCAAGAATTGACCTGTTTGTTGTTGATAACAATACTCTTTTCAAGTCTGAATCGGATTGCATACTTGCAAGCTCCATATCGTATATATCAAACTTGAGGTAATTAGCCACATGGCAGCAATCAAACTCGATTTTCCAGTACCTGGAGGGCCGTATAACAAATACCCTCGCTTCCAGGCCTTCCCCACTGTCTTGTAGTACTTCCTACGCTCCACGAACCAATTTAAATCATCGATTATCATCGTCCTCAGCTTCGGATCCATGGCTACGTTATCAAATGTGGCTGGATGCCCAAGAATCATGGGAACCCAGGTATCATCAATGTCGTGACGATGGTTACGACTATAGATCTTAACCACTTTGGACTCTTCTTTGATTTGTTTAGCCCTGGCCAAAACATGAGGTAAATAAACGGCGACCACTTGATCTTTGAACTTATTGCGGAAAGTGAGTTCGAAGAATTTTTCCTCTGTAAATC